AAAGATAAAGTTTGTCTGAAAAATATTTAACTGAATTTGGAATGAACTCACCTGTTCGAAATGAAAATGCATCTGATCCTTTTGAATTCTCAATTTTGCGTTCTTACGATAATATCCGATTACAAGAATTTGTAGAAATCAATTTATCAAAATTAGTAAATGATCAAAAATATGCTTTTAATGTTATTACAGAAAGCGTAATGAATCATCAAGGAAGAGTTTTTTTTTAGATGCTCCGGGTGGTACAGGAAAAACATTCCTAATTAATTTGTTGTTGGCTCAAATTAGATCCTCAGGTAAAGTTGCATTAGCAGTAGCTTCATCTGGTATAGCAGCAACTCTCCTTAGTGGCGGCAGAACTGCTCACTCGACTTTCAAGTTACCGTTAAATGTATTATTTGATACATAATACGTTTGTCTGATTCGTAAAAATGGCCCTCTTGGAAAAATTCTTCAAGAAACCTCATTCTTCGTGTGGGATGAGTGTACAATGAGTCACAGATCACATATCGAAGCAATTGATCGAACATTAAAAGATCTTAGGTGTAATAATAAGTTTATGGGTGGCATAACATTTGTTTTCGCTGGTGATTTCCGTCAAACCTTACCAGTAATCCCTAAAGGTACTCGAGCAAATGTCGTTAATGCTTGCTTAAAATCTTCCCCTATATGGAACTATGTTGAAAAACTTTATTTGCGAACAAACATGAGAGTTTTTTTATACGGAGGGGACGATATTTTTCCAGCACAGTTGTTGAAAATTGGAAATGGAACTTTAGAAAATGAAAATAGTTACATTTCTGTCAATCACACGATTGGCCGGTTGGTCAATAACGTGGAAGAGTTGATTTCTACAGTTTATCCTGACATTTTTAATCTGTCCAATAAATCTTATCAGTGGTTATGTGAAAGAGCTATTATCTCTCCGAGAAATGTAACAGCAGGAGAAATTAATGATATCATCCTTCCAAAATTTGATGGACACTCACGTGAATATTTATCTATTGATACAGTTACATCAACAGATGATGCTTTTCATTATCCACAAGAATTCCTCAAGTCTCTTTCTTCTTCGGCATTTCCTCCTCATAAGCTAAAATTAAAAATTGGTGCTGCAATTATTACGTAATCTTCAACCACCGAACTTATGTAACGGTACAAGATTACAAATAAAATCGAAATAATATCATAGAAGCCGTAATTCTTACAGGGCCAGCGAAAGGAGAAATTGCATTTATTCCAAGAATTCACATGATTCCCTCTGACTTGCCGTTTTCTTTCAAACGGCATCAGTTCCCGGTTAAAGTTTCTTTTGCCATTACCATAAACAAAGCGCAAGGTCAAAAATGCAAGTACGTTGGCGTAGATCTTCGTACAGAGTGCTTTTCACATGGGCTATTATACGTGACATTTTCTCGAACTGGGGACCCGAATCATCTTATGATTTTAATTTCAACAGGAAATATAACAAAAAACATCATATACTCAGAAGTTTTATAAAATTCTTATTTTAATTCTTTTTTTTTCTTTTTTTTCTTCATCAACTTCGATCTAATTCATTATCAACCATAAATTATTTCTTTTTATTATTTACAACGCTAGAAAAATTTCAATCCGTTTAACCGTTTTTTTATATTTACTTGCCGATCACATTAAACAATAATATTTGAATAAAAAATTCTACATATTATGGTCCGAAGGTAAAATAAACAACCAATCACGGGCGAAGCTGTGACGGTCGGCTAGTTTTATTATAATATATTATTATTAATAATTATAATTAACGTAATGAAATTAACAATGATAGCTATAAACATTTCCTATAACTATGCAATGGCACTCATCTATTTCAAAAAAGGAAATAATAATATACAAATATCCAATTATATTTGTATTAAATTCAAATTTAAAAATAAAAATGAATTAGATGGGTCGGACAGTCCTCTTTGATCCTATCTATGTATATATTAAATAACATGAGTTTAACGTACATATGTATTACAGTAGTTACTAGTCAGTAAGTAATAATTACTCATAACTGTAATTACAGGTATACGCAATTAGATTTATTTTATTCCGTAACATATTATATTATAATACAATACTATACAACCATAATATACTACAAAACCATTTATTTATGTTATTATAAATTATATAACATTGGAAAATCGCCGCAATGCAATGTAAATTTATGATAGTTTATTATTTCCCGGGAGTTTAAATAGTTTAATTAAAAATCCACCAGTCATCGCTACCACCGCAGTTTGTGTATGCTATAAAATCGCCAGCGGTACCGCTACCGCTATCGCTGCAGTGTGTGCGGACCTTAAATAAGGATTCTGTTAATAGTAAGTTCAATTTGAAATGTATTTAATTAATAAAATATTCTATCCAATTATTCTAATTAGAAGTTTATTTGTAACGACCATTTTAATAACAAAATGGACAAATTTCTTAAACGAAAACATGATTCTGGTACTGATAATGCAAGTATGAATAGAAGCGATATCAATGATGATATTTTCAATAATGAGAATAAAATAAAAAAGGTCAAAAGACAATATTACAATGATTATTTAAATGTTGGGTTCTCTTATGTTTACGAAAATTATTGTCGAATTCCCCTATGTGTGGTTTGTGGGGAAAAGTTGTTTAATAGCGCAATAGCACCAGCGAAATTAAAACGGCATTTTTTATCTAAACACGCCAATCTCTAGTCTAAAGAAAAAAATTATTTTGAGAGGTTGTTGAACATCAACACGTCAAGTTATGAATTTACATTAGAAGAAGAGGAAGAATTCATAACGCTAACAACAGATCGAACTTTCAAAATAACATTTTCTGAAATAACAATAGAAGAATTTTGGATTTCAGTTCAAACCAAATTTAAAAAAAATTCTGAGAAAGCAATTTTAATGTTATTACATCAATATATATCAAACCACTGGTCTAAGCCTTAAAGTTGGTATTACCACCAGTGGTGGATTCAAAGAAGGGGCCAGAAGGAGCTTTTATATAATCCATTTGAATAATTGTCAAATAGCAGACTTTGGTGATATTTTGAATACATCACAGTATTTGTGTTTGTGTAAACATTTTGAGCGTGTATGGCGTAGTTTGAGTAGTTGCGCAACGGTTTGTAAGAAATCGGTCGAGTTCGAAATTTGTTGCGCAAACGCTTCACGATTGACAATATGTTGTACGTGTATGACAGTGTTTGACAAGCATCGGTCATCAAAAATCTCCAGACGATTGGAAAAACGTATGAAATAGGTAATATTTATTATTAATTATCAATTATTATACTTACTTTACTTATATTAATAATTAATATATTATATGTATAATACATTTACTTATACCTTTATAATTTGTTTTTATATTATTATTATATTTTATTTTTATTATACTAAATATAAAATTTAGTTTTATAACTACGGCGACTAAAATTGATGACAATTAGACATTTCACGTATCTGCATTCATTTGTAGATCATTTTTATAATAAACGGCTGAACTAGTGGCGTAGACAGGAATTTTCATTGGAGGGGGGATATGTTACCTCAAAAAACTATTACATTTTTGTATAAAAAAAATTATTTATATTTTTCTACAAAATGTATTATAGTTTACAATATAATATATATTTTTCTTGATCGACGTGACATGATATCAAGAATTTCGTCGGGTGTAATGGAAATTTCTCGGTGAAAATAGCTTTTGATATTACTCATATTAATTATTTTAAGAACGAGCTTACACTTGACACTTCACTGTTGCGTGCCGTCGCTCAATCGTATTTGATAGTTAAGTTTTTAAAGGATAGACTTCAATAAAATACTCAATTGTAATTTTAACTGTTTATTTAGCATAAAAAAAA